GATGACCAGGTGAGCTGTAAGAGTAGTTACAAAGCACCTCAATGTGTCATGGAAGATCTTGGAATATATTTTCCACATTTTCCCAGTGAAAAGCAAACAGTCCTTTAGTTATCCCAGTCTTGGCACAGCTTGGCCAGACCCTGTCCAGCAGTTAGAGCTGCAATTCATAGCAAGGAGACACCAGTAGTTCAATGCGGTTTTGCTCTTCCTGGGCTTCAGCCTCACTCCATGCATGGGAAACCTTGTCTGCACAAGAAATGCCCTCCCCTACCTCACAGGGTGGGCAGTGCAGCACAATATACATCCCACCTGACACACGAGAGCATCGGTACCATAAAATTAAGCCCACCTTCCCCTCTTCAACAAACACCTGCAGCAGCACCTCAAAGAGAACAAGCGAAGCACAGATGTCTGAGCCTTCCTAGGGAAACCCTCCCAGCTTCCAGGGACTAGCAGGGGCTTTCCTTCTTGAGAATTACATCTACACCAATGATAGCAGTGCTAAATAACCTCTGGCAACCTTGACTTTCATGGATTTGTGGAGTCCTACCTTTTAATATGTCTTCCTCTCTACAGTAGCCTGTACTTGGTCTTTTAAATGCATGCTAAAAAAAATATTAAAAAAAACCCCTACCCAACACTTCCTGCTTTAATGAGAACTTGAATAAACTTTAATCAGAACTGCTCTATATTCTGTTGCAAGAAACAGAGATCAGTGCTTCTCGAGCTTCTCTTACTTTTTGTGTACTACTCGTTTTTACCCCTTCTGGTATCTCAGCCCCGTGCTGGGAGATGTTTGATGTCTTCTATAGAAACAACTTCTTATCTTTGATTATTTTACTGCCCTTCTCTACATCTTCTCTAGTTTCAAGACTACGGATCTGCTTTCTTGGACACAAAGGGAGCCTGAACTGAATGCAGTGCTCTAGATGTGGGTTCATCACAGATTTTATTTCATGGTTTATCATACAGTTCCATTACACTATTTAGCTTTCCATTTCTCTCCTAATAATTTCTGCTGTTTGTCATCGAAGAGTTCCCCACTGTGCCTCCAAGATGTTTTTTCCCTCTGATTACAGCCAGTTCAGATAATATCCTTGTGTTCATAGCTAAGGAGGTGCCATCTGCAGTTCTTTGCAATTATTCACAGCAAATCCAACCCTCATTTTATCATCATCTGCTATCTTAGAAATGTGAGAACCTTCTGTATTTCTTCACAGTTAGCTGTAGATTGGATGCCCCTCAATAACTGTTTATCATCCATAAATGTTACCAATTCATTATTCACTCTCTTTTCCAGATCAGCCAGAAACATGTTGCACTGCACTGGTCCATCCTGAGATCTCTGGAATACCTTCTTGGAAATTTCGGTAACCATCCACCTTCAGGAAAACAGAAATTTTCTTCTTACCTTGGCTTCTTTCAGTGACTAATTCATGGGATGATTTTACCCCTTCTCACATGCTGGCCTAGTTTCTTTCAGAACATTTGCCCCATCTATCCACAGCACCCCCTTAGTACCTGATTAGCTCTTGGCCCTTGCAAAGGTGGGATTCCTGCTTCTGATTTGCTTAGGAAAAAATCCCCCCCCCTTTGTTTTGGCCATACTACAGCTTTACATCTAACCCCACCAGAATTTATGCCCTATTTTATTTTCCTTCTTCAGATCTCACGCCTACAATTTAAAGGCTACGTTTTTAACTCCTGAAAACTCACTCACTCTTGCATAGCAATGCTAGCTTTTTTGCAGCTGTGGGAGTAAAGGGATGTTTAAAATCGTTGTAGATTCACTCTGAGACCTCACTGCACACCTAAACATGCTGCAAGACTCCATGCTACCTTCAAGCATTTTACCCTCCCAGCTGCTCCTTTTACTTTCCCTTTCTGCCCCCCGCCCCGTCACCCTGTAGTCCTAGTGCTTAAGCTTTGCCCCTTTCAAACTGAAACACACTGCACTGGATTTTGGATATTCTGTATGGCATCTCTTTGGTAAACCAGATTTCTCCTCTTTCATCCCTGGCAAGGCCAGAACCTGCACTGACACACTTTCTATTTGTTCTGAGCCTCTGAAAGTTATGGCAATTGTGGTGCAGAATCTTGTTACTGGAGACTTAAAAACAGAATGTATATAAATGGTGAAGATATCTGCATCCAATTCTGTACAAAACTGAGTATAGAATAAAAGAATAAAGTATAAGCCTAAATACACACAGCCCAAATGCACCATTGTAGATCGTACCCACTAAAACAGAACTTGTAATCATCAGGGCAGTGAAATGAATCACATTTAACCCACTGAGGCCAAGCCCTACTTTTCCTGAAGCATCCTAATGAATAAAAAAAATTAAGGAGTACTCTGCTATGCTCTTCCCTCTGTATTTTCTGTGACATACTAGCTCCTGCAAATATGGAAAAATCAATTTCTTCTCATTGTACTTATATACTAAGGTACCTCAGCTAAAAATATACCCCTTTACTCCTTTTGAATGCCATTGACTTCAAAGGGCATCATGTAGGCTTTTCTACAGGCAGAAAGGTGTGCAGTAAACATGAGAAAATCAAGTTTCTCCATATGCTGATGGTTCCTTATTTCTTTTCTTTTTCTTTTCAATGAAACAAAGAGATGTTGCTCAAATATTTGACTTGTCAGGATTACTTGCACTGTCAAGTTCACATACCTGAGGAACACTGATCTAATTCATTTTCCTTGACAGCTAAATTCTACCTGACGAGTTTGCATCTATTGGTTGTAAGAGCATGATTTTAAACAGATTTCAGTACTGGCCTTAAAAGAAAAAAAGGAAAAGTGTTGGAAGGAGAGATGTTTGATAGGGAAGCAATTAAAGAAAAACAGTAGACTTGGAGAACTGATATAAAACTATCCCTCCAGAGCCTTTCTACAGGGTACTGCTTAACTTGGTTTAAATTGTTTTTGGTCAGGATTTAAAATTATAGAGTTGAAGACTCAGCTGGGGCAAAACTGTACAAGCACCAGAATCAGTCTTATGGATCAGTAATAAAGTGGAAAAATAGAAAAACTTAAGACATAAATTATTTATAGTTTTGTCAACTAGTTTTGGGGAGAGGTTGTGTTTTGTTTTGTTAGGTTTGTTTTTTTTTTAAATGCTGCTTGAAATGAAATTTTAAAAAACAGCAAATGTTTTCAAGTGTTTTATGAATGTCCAGATTTTTGTAATGCTGCTGTTTAAATATTTTTGTTCAAATTGAGTGGAGGAATTCCTGCACATAGTTGTGAATAAGCAGCACTGGATTATTGATTAAATTAGTACCTCGACTCAGTCCTTTCTTTTAGCTAGTCCTCCCTGCTTTTCCCAAATGTAGGATATTAGCTGGGATCTGAAACACTGCTCGGAGAACACTGCAACAGAAACAAGACTAATTTTACCCTGAGGGACATTTTGGAGACATGGTGAGGATTATATCAAGAAATTAACTTGGCTCAGCCTACAGAGAGGCACTATACCTCCTGTTTGCTAGGGTTTGTTATATTGCCAGTAAAACATAACATTTTACCTCCTCTCTTCAGATTCATGTGTGCATTTAGCCCCACTGCTTTTGGCTCCTGCAGGAGGACACAGAGCTCGGGAGATGGGGTGATGCTTGGATGTTCAGCAAGACAGAGCTTGAAAAAAGGAAGGTATAAAATGCAAACTAAGCAGGATGTGCAAGAAACAGCCTCCTCTCCTTAGAAGACAAATTTTTTACTTGATCGGGAGAAAAGAGGGGAGGCTGAAATATTGGGGAGCAGGTATTTTCTTGACAGACTGTGCCCTTTATGAACATTAACATTCTCTTAATATGCTGAAAACTGTTCATCGAGCTAGAACAATGCAAATAGATAAGCTGGTTTCAAGCACAGGTACTCAGCCCACAAAGATGACATAAAATATTGACTCTATGCACATTTTAAAAAATGTATCTTTTTTTTTTTCCCCTGCTTTGGAAAAAAATGTTAATATTCTTTTAACAATATTCTGAAAAAAATAAAATAAACAAGCAATTTTAACTGAAATAATCAATAATCTCACAGGAGATATGGCTGGATTTTTTTGAATTTTTTTAAGGCTGTCCTTTAGCATTTGTTTTTGCAAAGCAGTATTTTATACATTTTTAAAATCCACCTGTCAGCTAGATTGGTTCTATAGGAACCCAGAGACAAACGTAATTTTATTACGGTAATAAAGGATAAGAGGAATATATTCTGGTGAATTTGTTCCCTTTGAGAACTTTTGCTATGAAATGAGAAAGCCATCATGTTTTTAAAGACAGCAGAGCTTTGAAATATCCATTTCATATTCAAGGCTGAATTTAACTGATGGGCTTTATATTTTCCTAAGCATTTATGCATAAAATAATACAAAAATATCTTCTAACACACAACACAATATGCCCAGCCTATATTCCCCTTATTTCATTCGGCTTTTTAAAAAAGGTGACACCCTAAAAAAAAAAAAAGCCACTTTTAGTTACGTACCAGTATTATAACATTTAATTTTATTTCACTTTTTTTTTATTCCATGGCTAGTGATACTCCAATTTGAACAGTACAGCTCTTGCTTTCCTGCTGTCGTCCCCAGTGCTGGGGATACCTGCCTAAAGCTCATGGGAGGCAGTAAGTGGGTGTAAGATGAAAACCCACCATGTTCCCCCACTTACCTCTCTTCCATGTCCTGCAATGCTGCTCCTTCAATTTGGCTCCTCCCAAGGACTGCTAAAATGCATTCCAGGTCCTACCCAAGCTTTGGTCCCTTACACCTGGAACTGGGGCACTGTGCCCCTCCTCCCTCATAGTGAGCAGCCCCAAAACCAGGCTACAATTCACCAGCTCTTCACTTGGCACCCCAAGGAGAGAATTGCTCTTCAGGAACCCTCTGCTCCCCGACCTCTCACAGCCCACTTGGCCACCACTCCTCTCTTCTACCTGATCAAACCAAGTGTGCTCTGGCACCAGACAAGTTTCTGATCAATAAATTACTCTGTTTTACATGGTTCAAATTTAAGCTTTTATTTGGTTTTTAAATTAAAAAAATAAATTTCGTTATTAAATAGTGGAATGGGTCTAAACTAATGTTTACATATTAATTCACTTGCTTTAGGATACCACCAGAGAAATAATTAACGTACACCACCCAGACAAAACTTTCTGTCAGAAAGCTCCAAAGTGGCATAATTCAGTTAAACAGAAAAAAATCCCAAAAGTCTTGATGTTTACAATGAAGGTTAGAAGTAAACCTCTGGTTTTAGTGTCATCCAAATCTGTTTTCCACCGCAAAGGCAGTCACTGTATTCAGAATACTATACCACAGTGCTAATGTCATCAGCTTCGTCTGGTTTCTTTTGCCTGCTTGGCAGGGATTTCAAGTACTCAAGGTGCCTCCTTGCGTCCTCCTGATTTTGCCGGACATAATAAACCACGTATGAGATCACCATGGTGAACCAGCCAAACATGGTGACCAGCATGGCATAATCGGTAGTCTTTTTGGGAAGGTTGCAGAGGTCAGCGTCGTTGGCAGCGTTGAGGAATGGTCTCCCAGCGTGTTCATCCAGCACAGAAGTCTTGCAGATGACGTTATTGGCTGTCTCGTGGTTGGAGGCCATGCTCCTCAACACCTGCTGCAGGGTGCAGTCACAGTGCCAGGGATTGTTGGCAATTCTGGCTCTGGCCTTTAAGTTGTTGAAGGCGTTCTTGTGCACGCTTTGAATCCGGTTGTCGGACAAATCCAGAGTCTGCAAGGTTTCTGCCACCCCTTTAAAGGCATGTTCATCTATAAACTCAATCCCATTTTTTGATAAATTGAGGACTCTCAGCTGGTGCAAGTCCTTAAAAATTTCGTTGGGGATAGACGTTATCTGATTGGAGTCCAAATAAAGTAAGACTGTTTCTGGAGGAAGATCTCTGGGTATTTCCTTGAGGTTCGCGTTGCTACAGCTGACGTTCAGACCTCCGGAGTGAGAGCAGAGGCAACCTTTCGGGCACATACTGGCAGAATGAAAGCACAGTATCATGAGGACAAAACTTTGTAAGAGCAGACACATGGAGAGGGAACGAGTCAACCACAGGTCTACCAAATGCATGCTGGGGTGTCAGCATAATCACACGACCATTTCTCATTCAGCCAACAGTGGTGGGAAAAGGATCGGAAAAGCTGAAACGCGGCTTCATTTTCTTCGGTGGGATTACTAAAAACTGACTAACATGTGGGCCTCCTCATAGTCAATACTCTTCTTAGAAGCACACCTACAGAGAGGAAGGGAAACAAGTTCTTTATTCTGTTAAGTCCAATCCCAATTTTGTTTTCATTTGAAAAAATAAATAAAATTAAGTCAACATGAAGTGCAACACTAAATAAACAATCCATTATCCTATTAGTGCACTGGGGGATTTGTTTAGGTAACTTCTATTAGCATTAATCTGAGTTTAGTACATAAATCCCCAGTACATTTTTAAGAGGATAGACTACAGTTATTACAATAATTGCAGAGGTTTGGGCTCTAATACTTATTAGAGGAGCCACTGGTTTGTTTTTTATTACAGATTTTTCTAAAACAGCTATAAAACTAAATTACATTTTCCCTTTCTAAAGTAGAAGATGCATTAATAGGAGCTAAGAGTTGAATCCCTAGCAACAGTGACAGGTGAGTAATTTGTGGTGGTTAATGTGAACATATCTCAAAAATAATTTAAGCTATTTTAAGTCTGTATCAAAGTACTTCAGCAAGGAAAGATTTTTGCTATAATCGAGAAACAAAAACTAAGTAAACCAAAAGCTTCTGCAAGACACCACCAACATCCACAATGTCCTTGTTTGTCTCCTCCTCTCCTGCATTTGATCTCCCAGCATTTTATGAGACACTGATGCAAGACCCACATAAGTTATTTCTATTCCCAGTTTTCTTTAAAATTTTCTTTTCATTTCACATTGAGAAAAAGGAAGAAATATAACAGTTGCTGAAAACTCATTCCCTCCAAACCAAATAAACCTCAAAGAAAACAGCCAACACAAAGAATAATCTCATGTATGGCATGTAATTTGCTAAAAGAACACATGAAAAATATTGTTTCTGCTTCTACCCTCTCAAGCTGGCTTAAAAATAGTAAATATCCAGAAGCTTTACCATTTTCTCCTTTAATTGGAGCACAAAACACCAAAGTCTGAAATGCTGAACTATAGGGTTTCAAAGACAACCTCATTTATTTTTCCCCCTGTTATGGTAAACTATATATTTTCTAACCACAACAGGTCCATTTGTTTTCATGTACATGCCTTCCCTCTTTGTAGCAGCTTGGATATTTGCAACCTTCAGGTTGTATTTACATATAAATTAATTCCCTCCATCCTTCCCACCCCGAAACCACAGTGTGGTCCACTAAGTAACAAAATGCCTGTAGGGAGGGTATTTGTGATTCTGCAGGAAACAGAAGAAATTGCATTGCAACCATTTTTGCCTGCAGAACTCACATACTAACTACAGTTTCTGGCATATCACGATAATATGGATTGGATGTGTCACGCAGTATTTCAAACCCATAGCTCAAGTTTTATTTAGCCTTTTTGCTGAGACTTAGTACGTCAGTAACTCTACAGGAAAAACAAACCAACCAAAAACATCTCAATAACATGTACATTATGTGTGATTGGTCCATTACTATGACTCTGGAATGGCAAATGCTCAGCACACTCACTGCAACTACTGCAAAGAATAGTAGTGTATCACCACTACTCTTCAACTTATCTATTGATGATGAGAGAGATGGGTCAGGAACCTGAATAGAAAGTTTACACTTGGATTCCATAACACAGAAATCTGCTCTAACATTAATAAGAATGGAAATGGTTAGCCACGAGAAATTGTGAAGTTAAGCCTGGAAATGTGAACCATTAAGAAGGGAAGTAAGCAGAGCATGAAAAGCTCCCATGAGGAAATGGGAGGTAAGGCAGCACCTCCACAATCAGCAGACAGTCCTGCTCTATGGAAGAAACAGTTCCCACGACAGAAGCCCACTGCAGTGGGTGCACCCCTGCTTTTGCTCCCTGCAGCTCTTTGGCCACCGCAGTGCTAGGTCTTCAGATCAGACAGCAATCTGCTACAGAAGGAGACAAGGTACAGAAGTTGTTTTTTTTTCCCAGCCTGCCCAGAAGTGCTAAATATTTGCTAAGATGTTCAGCCCGTTTGGAAGCCAAGCTGGAGCTGGCAGCTCAGGGCTGGCAATCTGCTCCTCCCTCCCGCAGCCCTGGCTGCTGCTACTAGAAGGCTTGTCCCCTGGAAAAACAGCTGCTTATTTTCTTCTTTCATGTTTACATGTCTCACTACTGTGCTGCACCAAAAGAGTAAATGAGTGGCCCAGCTCATCATCATCACCACAGAGGAAGAATCTTATCACTGACTATTTGTATAGAGTGGCTTTCAACCAATGATACTGGAGTCCTACTGCAGGAATGGACCAGGATGGAAGAGGAAAGACCCAAAGCAGATGCTTCATTTTGTAGAAGTATAAAAATCACATTGTTCTCACCAGAGTGTGACAATTAAATATAATATTATTCTCATTACAGGCTAAAAAAGCCCTGCCAACATGGAATTACACCAT